CTTTAACACTATCTCTATCACACTGAACGCAAGCCAAATAGGCTATTGATGAGATTTTATACTTATTTGTGAAACTATATAATCTTTTTACGAGTTTGACCACGGACTGATATCGGTTAGAGAACCATTGAAAACCAAGGAGTACTGGACAGCTGTCTTGTCAGCCTAGTTTGGGACAAAATGTTCGATTCTTCTCAAGTTTGCCTAAGCGATTTCTATCAAACGCTTGAAACCAGATTTATGTGTGTTCAGAAAGAAGCAGTTATTAGTCTTTCCTTGCCCTGGTAACTGGATGTCTTTATTCTCTCATCTGAATACGTAATCTTCGTCTTTAACCTCATCCCCTTTTATAATCTGTAATTTTGCTTGTCTCTTGTTTCTATGATATGAGTTGAACTCAATAGATTGTTACCTAATTTATTAGTCACTCAGCACATTACGCATCTCTCGTCTTTATTATTATTATAGTCCTACCAGGTGAGAGGCAAGGCGGGGAGAGTTGTACATAGAGTGTAAGGTGTTGAGAGTCAGAAAATATGGATTTAGACCACTTCTTGCATGAGTTCAGGTGTTTGTCAACTAATGTAGTAACCAGCTGACTAAGTGGCACTCAACTTGCCCTACTAACAACCTTTAATACCCTTCGCAATATGACATATAGTCCTTTTTGAGTATCCCAGGAAAGACTAATGCGAGGCAGCAGTAAAGAACAGCGGGTAAGATGCAAGTGTTAACAAATTGTAAAACTAGAGCTTAATTGGTACTTGGCTGTCTTAACACTTCCTTGTGTAGTAGTAGGTTAGAAAGAGCATTTTCGTAGAAATAGAGAGGATATGAGGTGGGCAATAAAGGTCAGAAGGTTTTTTTTGCTTGGCTTGTTCTCTAGATCACAGCCCTCTAAGCTGCAAGCATCGTATGAACTAGTGATTAATTCATTAAGATCACGATTATTCCTGAAGGTGAAATTAACTGCCTGATATTTCGGAGGATTTAGCGTAGGTTAATTAAGCTGTTACACAGTATTTGGTAACTGGACCCTTCGGATGACCAAGTTTATTTTTGAGAAAGTTCGCTGGTTGGTTTAAATGCCATCCTAGTTCCAGAACGATTGAGAATCCTAATTTGGGCCTCTGACTTTTCTTCTTTATACGGTAGTACTAGAGAGGCTTAGAATTCTTTATTATTCTCATCGTTTTTATTGCTAATCTTAGTTTTTCTGTGGTTCTTTATATATTTCTGAATAGATATTCACTAGTAATATTTCATTTCCTATTTGTTTGATTTCATTATTTAAATCTCCTGACCTTCTGGTTCGGCTTTTGGGCCGATTATAAGGACATTTAACTGAACCTGTCTTTACCGATTCTGGATCGGATTAATTAAAGTCTAAGTATTTACGAGAGTGTGTCGGCTTTCTATAAATGCTAGTATCTAACTCGCTATCTTGTTTTTGTTCTATTCTAAAGTGCAGTATGGCCGACTCACCCTGTTCATATTTCAACTCAGAAGTGAATTCGATTGTGTCTATTACTGAGTTTATGTGTGAAAAAAAATGAGGGATATGTTCAGATTTCAACAGAGTGAATGTACCATCCACATATTAATACACACAATTGAAGGATAGAAACCGTTACGACAGGTGGATTGCACTGTGCATAATTTCGGAAAAAATGAAGAGCAATTAAGGAATAGGACAGTGTTAAAGTTGATTACGTAACAGATAAGTGGAGAAAAACAAAACGATTTGGATAATGATAACTTGTCAATAGTTGGTTTGTAAGGATTAGATTTATTTTTAAAAGTTTGAGCACGGATTGATATCAGTCAGGAAACCATTGAACCACTAACAGTACGCCTGGGTTTGAACCCCGGTGGGTGCGTACTGCCAATGATTCTCAAACTAGGATGAAATAGCTGTCCATTAATCCCTGATTTTTAGTGGTTCTCTAACCGATATCGATCCGTGCTCAAACTCTTAAAAAAATAATAACTTGTGATTAAAGATGAAGTAGTCAGAAAAAGTAGTAAAATAATTTGCACAATTATAATTTTTGAAAGGCTTAGGGGAAGGGAGAAGTAGTCCGGTTTATACATTCATGTAACAATGAGCAAGGTAAGGAAAGTAGCTCTTGGAATTGACCCTGCTAAGTTAAATAATCTAGTAAAAAGCCCATCCACTACACTGCATTCACTTGCACGTTATCACAAAATAGGGTGGGTGGGACAGCGTGGAAGTATTAAAAAGTAATTTAGTTAGGTGGAGTGAGAGGTTAATCAGTGAAGATTAGATTATCGATTCAACATGAAATCTAATCCGGTTGCTTGCCACTCGCATTCAGCGCATATGTAGTCCTGATACTGTGAAAGAGGAGTTAAAACTTCTAAGAAAAATCTTGACAGAAAATAGATTTCCGCCACCTTTTACAGACAGAAATATACAGTCAAAACTTATGAAATGTGACTTATCATCCATAACCAAGAAAATACTGTACATGAGCTTGGAATTCAAAAGTGACTTAGCTCTCGATATCATTAAAGAATGATCTCACAGTCCCTGAAAAGGAAATTCCCTGCTACAGCGTTGAGAATAGCGTTTTGAAGTCGACCATTACTGTTCAATAACCTGAAGGACAAGATCCCGCTGTTGACCAACTCTGTGTACGCTTATCAGTTCATCTGCTCGTTTAAAGCTAGGCATATCGGCTGTTCGACTCGAGTTTTGTCCAAAAGTGTGCAAGAAAACTATCCTGCATGGTTACGAAGACGTTGGAGTGGAGCAATAAAAAGTGCAATTATTGAACATCTGGTCCATACTGATTACCCTATCTCTGTAGCTTCATCTACAAGGTGAAAAGTAATTTGCCCAAATCTTTGCGTATCCAGACTCACCTATATTGCTGAAGCTTTGGTCATCGAAACAGAAAAACCAGATCTCTGTATACAGAAAAAGTGTTTTCAACCCCTACATTTCCGTAGTCCTAACCCCTTTATGCTAAAGTATGATAATCCATATTCATATGTTGGCTCTACTTAGTGTTTTCCACTCTGTTTATTCACTTTGTATACTCTTCCTTTAATACGTCAATTATTAGTATAATAATTTATGTTCGAAACCTTGTCATCCAGTTTTTAATACTGCATCATCATTGTGTGTGATATTTAAAATAAACTTATCTAATATGGAATTTAACAAGGCATATAAGAAATATCCTATCAATCAAACATGGCAGGTAGAATTAACCAAGAATTGTTTTCTTAACTCTCCGAAGAAATATATTCGAAGACAGCAAGTACAAAAACTCAACCATACCCTACTTAGCTCATGTTCTGTGAGATAAAGAAAGCATTGGGCGTGAAGTTTATAATTCATTAAATAGTCAGTAGAACAACTGGACCTCGTCTTTCCAACTCACATCATTTATAGGTACAACATTTTCTTTCTTTCTTTTCCATTTCTCTCTCCCTTTTTTTATTTATTTCTCTTTTTTCCGTTATGTGCTGCTTTGTTCCTTTCTTCCGTTTACGCCAGTAAATATGATAGCACCTACTTTTCTAACACCTTCAAACACACTGTTCAACTTTGGCTTTGCTACCGACATGCCAATATGTTGTTGTCATAATGAACTGAGATTTCCTTAATCTATGTAGAATTCTATTTATTGATAATGTACTAACTGGATGCAATACTGTAGTAAAAATGCTGATAATTCCATTCTGTATCACAAGTACTGTTTTGGAATAAAGCAAATTATTATTATTATTATTATTAAAGTGAAACGAAAATTTGCGACTCTTTGAAACTTCAAAAATACTCTCCCATAATGCTGATTGATGAGTGAGTTTCAATACAGAAGTTCAACAATTCAAGGTATCATACCCCAAAGATCACACAAAAGTAGACGCAAGAGGGAGGGTGAGAGAGAGAAAGATTTAGAAGAACTACAATGACTATAAATGTATAGGAGAATGAATAGTAACATAGAAAAGCATGAGGGTGGTGTAGTGAATATGGGAGAACTATATCGATCCATATTTCACATAGTTTCCAGGTGTCATTGGTTCTTAGCATTTTGAGGACCCAAACTAGTCAGGCAATCTACATCTCCTTTTACATCGCTGAAACCGACAGTCAAAGACAGGGCAAGACAGTCAAAGACGAGCAATGTTAGCTGACATAGGGTCAGGCTGGAAAATAGGTAGCGACGTTCAAACGAAAACATGGCCTCATCAGTCAATCAAATTCACAACAGTTAGCTTAAGCCACGTAGGAAGGTGTAGATTTCTCGGTTGGGGCCCTTGGGAAGGTAAAAACCAATGACAGCTGGAGGCAATCGGTAATATGGCTCAAAATCATTCTCAATGGCTGGTGCAGATGTATCCACTCCTTGTGACTTATAATACCCAATGAAACTATCTTGTTCTTCGTTATTACTATTCCTTTTGTCTCATATCCCTGTTTACTGTCTCTATCTTGCATTTCTTCTACTTTCTTCTCTTGGTTTGTGTGCTACATGGAAGTAGTGTGGCGACTTGAACCGCTGCACATCGGTGCAAAGTTCTATGTTGAAAACAGACAGACAGACAGTCAAAGACTTGATGGGTTGACGTCAAGGGGCTGGATTTGACCATTTCTAACCCTTTTCCAACCTTATCCTTTATCGCCTGACATTACTCATAAAGAAAAGTGATGTCTCCTCAAGTGCAGCACGTTCCCTAGCCATCTGATCACCTTTCCTTGCTTATCTTATACTACTTCACATAACAGATAGATAGTTAGAGCGCAAACATCTGTGTTCAGAGACAGCGAAGCTTTTCATATCTTCATTTTCAAGTAGACTTGTCTCGCAGTCATAAAGCAAGACTGAGTGAACCTGTTGCTTAGCACACACCACCTATGATCGATAGCCAACCGGATATCATTTCAACACCAGAAATAACGGAAAAATATAGGGAAAAACTTGAAAATCAATACTTAAACATATAAAATAAAAGTATCTTACACTATCATTCTCCGCATGAACTGCATCTTTTAATATTGTTTTAGTAAACTCTTCTAATGGTCCTTTGTCACAATTGCCTTTAGTATTTGAAATTCGAGTACAATCTCGTCTATACTGGAGGATATAAGCGTGTGGTTCATCATAATGATAGAATTTGTATTCTTTACCAATTCTTGCTAGTTTCTGAGGTATAAATCGATCAGGTTTTCCTCCACCCACTGGGCCTGCACCAGTAATACTTGTTGTACCAGTTATCCGACCCACTGGTGGTTTACGATACATTGACAGTAAGGCATTCTGTTCATTCCAACCGTATAAATGGGTGACATTTGTCTTACTCGGCTGTGGTTTGTATAAATTCTAAAGATAGTGTTGAAGAAGAAATGCTGTTTAATTTATGACTACTGAGATACTTCAATATATGTGTAAAACTTGGGGATTGTGGTAGTAATTCCATATCAGTTTGTTTATTAGATGTATCGCACAGTCACTAAAACAGTATAATTATTTACTGGATGACAAGATTTATTGTTCGTAATCATATCAGTTATCATCACACGACTTCGAAACTCGAGTTTTATAGTTTTCTTTGTTTTCTCCTATTTGTCGTGGGGGTAGTAGAATTTTCCAAACATCTAGGTAGATAGGTGTTGAATCATTCCTATTACATGTATTTGCAGTTGATTCGATAAACACAGCTCCTGTTATCAACCTCTCCCTATACCTTTTGACATTAGATTTTAAAACTGTCATCCTATCCCATCCCATCCTATGCTGTATGGTTGTGTGTAATTGCATGTGGTGAGTGCTATAGATGAACTATTCTCTAGATTTCTTATCTTATTTGGTTCAACTAATCTAGGTTTTGCTAGGCTTTTATGTTCAGCTAGTCTGACTGCCCCTGTTCTACTAGTTTGACCTATGTATTTGACCTGAATACCATTGCAGGCTCTACAGGGCTGATCCTTTAACCGACAAAGCTTGTTTCTAATTGAGTTTGTGGGGGGTTTGAATGCCAGTCACTTTTATTCCTGCCAGCATTGTTAAGAATTCTGCGTAAGGTGGTTTCCGAGGTTCCTTCCCTGTATGGAAATACTACTGATGATTTAGATTCCTTATTGTTGTCTTGCGCATATTTGACATGCATGTCGTCATTATTATTATTATCACTATCGCTACTATCACTATTTATTTTATTTTTACATTTCCTTACATATTTCCTGATTAATTTATCAGGGTAATTATTAAGTTTCAAGTCTTCTTTTATGTGTATCAGTTCCTGTTTAGATTTTCCTTGGTACTACTTAATTTTTGTGCTCTGTCATTTAAACATTTCACCAATCCTATTTTTACTGACATAGGATGTGATGATCTGAAGTCCAAATATCTGTTTGAATGTGTGGGTTTCCTGTTAAACACACACTGGTGTGCTTAACTTCCCATCTTCCTTCCTTTTTAAGCTGCAATCTAACATTGGAATCTCGCTTTCCTGACTTTCCAATTCATAAGTCAATTGAATTGCCTCCACCTTTCAGTTAATGTGTTTGAAAAATCTGTCGATATCCTGTGTTCTAAGTACAGTGAATGCGTCATCTACGTACCTCCACCATACTTTTGGGGTGGGGGTGAACGTTTCAATCACTATGTTTTCCCACCTATCCATGAATATATCTGCTACAACTGGTTGTAGATATGATTATGAACGTCAATAAATTTTGTTCGAATCGTCATCCAGTAAATATTACTGTTTCACTGTGTGATATGCCCAATAAACAAACTAATATAAGATACTTCATTTCGATAAAAAAGGTAAAGGGGGAAATATCGTCTGCCAAAGACTGACCACGAACTGATATCAGATAGAGAACCATTGAAAACCAGGAGGGAGTAAGGGCAGTTGTTTTGTCCTTGTTTGTGACTAATCCTCACCACACATCCATAACACCACAATGGATTGAATTCAGGACCTTTAGGTTCCAAGGTGAGGTTGCTGACCATTCTCTCACTCATATTAGGTTCGATGGTACATCAACTTTACCTTCTGCTAATTCACAATATATAGAACAACTATCGACTAGTGTCATCAGTGAGTATTTGTTCAAACATGAAACCTGGTAGATCCAGCCGATTATCACAACTTCCAGCTAGAAATTCATCCTGTTGTCATTTACTACTGCAGAGTTCCAAATGAGGACGAAACAGCTGTCCAGTACTCCTTGGTTTTCAGTGATTTTCTGACTGAAGTCAGTTTGTTGTCAATTTTGAAATCATTCAAACCCCTGCAAAACAACACTTCATAACTGTCATTTGCAACATTATATCTAAAAGCACCTAATCACGTGTAATTCAGTCACAAACACACTGAGTATCAAGAGAAGTGACCACCCTGTTTTTTCTTCCACTTAATAAAACTATGTCACATAGCTGTCAGTAATCAAGTGAATCACCGTACTCGACTCTGGTAACTGGCTTGCTATTTTCTAACTTAGGTCTACTCGCAAACATTCTTAGATTATGTTTAAGTGGTCCATTGTTCTGACAGTTTTGTTTATTTCTGAACAGAGTAGCTCATTTTAATCCGAAGAATACCATATTCACCGACCTTAGCAAGGCGTCTGACAGGGTTTCTCATTCAGGTCTTCTAGTAAAGTTAGGTAGTATGGGAATCAATAAAGTGGTTGCCGACTGGATTCAAGACTTTCTAAAGGACAGAAGACAAAGAGTACGAGTTAACGGGGTTTTATCAACATTGGAATCGGTTAAGAGTGGCGTTCCTCAGGATAGAATTCTAGGCCCACTTCTTTTCCTGATTTATGTTAATGAGATTCCATCGGTAGTTAAGTCATCCTGCTTACTGTTTGCTGATGACATCAAGATATGAAGGGTTTTACAGGATGACAGTGATCAACTTGTTTTGCAGGAGGATTTAAACTTGTTAAGTGATTGGTGTAAGCACTGGGCCTTGGAGTTTAACTTAAGCAAGAGTGTAGTTATGCATGTATCCCATAGTCACGTGCACAATTACTCAATGAATAGCATTACTCTCCCAGTGGTCACTGAGTACAAGGACTTGGGAGTGGTTGTGCAGCATGACTTCAAAACAGCAACAAACTGTAGAGCTGCAACCACTAAGGGTTTTCGAATGTTATGGCCCATACACAAGGCTTTTGCGAATTTTGACGCTGAAATATTTCGTATATTATATCCGACTTATATCAGACCTCATTTGGAATATGGGATCCAGTCAGCGAGCCCGTGTTTCAAATACGAAATAGACTTATTAGAAAGGGTGCAAAGAGTAGGAACTAAGCAAATAAAGGGTTTCTCAACCCTCTGATATGAGGAGAGGTTAAGTCGACTGGGTTTATTTCCACTGTCATACAGACGACTTAGGGGGACCTAATACTAGCATACCGTAACCTAAGAAATGATTTTGGAGCAAATTTATCTAATTTATTTCTTCCTTCTAGCATCAACCAATTGCGAGGACATCACCTCAAAGTTCAAAAACCACGGTGGAACCGTCTGCGTCTGGAGATCCGTTTTTCGCACCGAATTGTGAACCATTGGAACTCCCTACCGGAACACGTCGTATCAGCGCCATCCGTTGATTCATTCAAGATTGGACCGACTGTGTGCAACAAATCGAAAGGATTAACACAGGCATATGGCCTACTATCCTGAGTAAATTGTAAACCGTAAACTATAACTCTGTTTGAATGATTGACTCTCAGAGTAGAACATTTTCACCCTCATATACCGAGGGTGATATCAACTTGTGGAGGCCGAAAAATACCAAAATTATACGTTCATTGTAAAATAGTAAAAACAATGAATTCACTGCACATCATGGTTGTCAATTTAGATTGAATAAGGACACGACCTGGTTCAGTGCTCAGTACGAACGACACAGCTTCCCTCTACAGCTTCTTGCTTTTCACTATCGCCAATCATCTCTGGATCGTGCCTGATGCGTACATTCACATTCGGATCCTTTGCTTCAATCTTCTTTTCTCTCCGCAAGTACCCTCGGGCTGTTGGCATGCTCTTAAGTGGAATGAGCAACTGCATACCAACAAAGGACTACAATTCTGTACGTCTTAACTTGTGTATTTTGGGATAATTATAACTCACCAAGTAATTGTATTTTATTTGTATTTTAATTTGTGTGGACTGAATTGCTCTCTACATACTTACATGATTGTATTTGTTTTCTATAGTTTGGTTTGTAAGGGTTAGTTATGTTTTTACGAGTTGATCATGGATTGATATCAGTTAGAGAACCATTGAAAACCAGCATGGGGTACTGGACAGCTGCTGTTTCATCCTAGTTTGGGAATCATTGGCAGTAAGCACCCACTGGGATTCGAATCCAGGACCTTTCGGTTACAAAGCAAGCTCGTATACCATTTGTTTTGTCCGTTTCATTTGTGTATAAAAGAGCTGAACCCTTTAGTCCATAACATACTGAAGACAACAGATGGAACGCATAATATTTAATTCTGGCTAAGACATAAGGGTAAGTATATTACTTATACCAACTAGTATTCATTACTGACCAATATGAACTGATCTGATCTCTGTGCAATTATTTCACTTATTCTGACACATAGCTAACTTGTAATTTATCAAAATATACAGATACCTTCAATAGATTTTTCTGTTACGTTAAAAATTAACCTCAGTTATATTTACTTACTGCATTATTCACTAAATTTCTTTTCTGTACAGTTGACTCCAACTTCATTCAAAATTTGTTAAAATCTCGTCAATAATACCTGATGAAACAAAATGTCAAAATCAAGCTGAATCAACATGCAGTTAAGAGTGTTATCTTAAAGAGACAGAGGGAAAAAAGATTGGATACTAATATTATGAAGTGATTCAGAAAGTTAGGAATGAGTGGATTATATTAAACCTTATTAATTGCATGAATATGACTGAGCGATAAAAACAATTTTTATTTTATTTTTTGATTTACAGCTTGATTCCACACCGTATTTTCAGTACAAGTATGGAATTTTCAGCATGGATATCGGTAGCCCAAATTCAGGCCGACCATAGATATCGGGTGTGCGCCGGCAGGGGATCGAACCCCGGACCATGTGCATGGTCGGCGAGAGTCCTAACCACTGTGCCACCGACGCAATAAAAGCTGAAACAGCAACTCGATGACTACATGAATTCTGATGGCCAGCAACAAGTTGGCTGTGTGGAAGCATACTCGATGGCCATATTGGCTTCTAGTGGCGCTACATATTACGAGCCATCAGAAGTCAGAA